AAGGTAAAGTGACATGAGGCAATTGTATCTGAAATTTACTTCTTGAACCTCAAAAAATTAAAAGCTTTCACTGGGAATGGGAACTCGTTGATTTTTAAAGCTAATTCGGATTGGGTTCCTCCATTTCAAATTCGTATCTTGGAGTTACGAGGTTGGCATTTAGGTCCACAATTTCCACAATGGCTTCAATCTAAAAAATGTCTTAGATATTTAGACATCTCTGCCTCAAGAATTTCAGATACCATTGCTAGTTGGTTTTGGGAGTTGTCATCTCAATGGATAAATCTAAATCTCTCTCACAACCAAATCCAAGGGCAGCTTCCAAGTATATTTAGTACTTCAAGCTTTTTCACTGTTGCTATTGATTTTAGCTCAAATAACTTCACCGGTGTGTTATCCCGCTTCTCCAGCAATGTTTATCTATTAAACCTTTCCAATAATAATTTCTCGGGTTTCCTTTTCCACTTCTTGTGTCCTAAGATGAATGAATCCATGAGCACAAAGTTTCTCAATCTCGGCGAAAAATTTTTAATCTGGAGAGTTACCAGATTGTTGGACCAAGTGGCCAGAGTTAACAGTCATAATGTTAGCGGAGAATGAATTAAGAGGTGAAATTTCAAGTTCCATCGGAGCTCCCCCTAACTTGAGATCTTTGCATCTTCAAAAAAAATTACCTCCTCGGAGAAATTCCATTGTCTTTGAGTAATTGCTCCTCACTGGAAATGCTTGATCTCAGTGGAAAGGAATTGGGTGGGAGCATCCCATCATGAATGGGTTCTAATTATCTTCAGAACCTGAGAGTCTTGAACATTCGTTCAAACAAATTTTGGGGAAATATCCCAAACCAGTTGTGGTCACTCAGTTCACTCCAAATTCTAGACTTTGCCCATAATAATTTCTCTGGAAGCTTACCAAGTTGTATTGGTAACATGAGTGCCTTGCTCTCAATGGATGCCCATCCTCAAGAATTTGACTCTGGAATTGGCTTCGATAGTAGATACAGCGTTCAATATGCCATATCCAATGGCACTGAAGACCTCAATTATGTCAAAAATTTTGATTATCTCAGTCTCGAGCGCGAACATGTTGTGATTAAAGGTCAGCTGCTTGAATATAGCAAGACACTTCACTTGGTGAGAATCATGGATTTTTCGAACAACAACTTGTCAGGGGAGATCCCTCAGAAGTAACTAATCTCAGAGGGTTGCGATCACTGAATTTATCACACAATCTTCTGACCGGAAGGATCCCAGAAAACATCGGTAACATAAGAATGTTAGAATCAGCCGATTTCTTTGCGGCCTTCCACTAGCAGATAACTGCAGTGTCAATGGAAATTCTATACCTACCATCCAAAACAGAGGTAGAGTTACAATAAATGGGTTCTTTGTGACCATGCCATTTGGATTTATTGTGGGATTTTGGAGCATACTGAGTCCTTTGCTGATTAGCAGGCGATGGCGATACATGTATTATCAATCTCTTGAAGAAGTGTGGTGGAAAATCAGTGATTCTGTAATCAAATGTTTTTAAAGTTCAATGTATTTCTTACTTTAGGAAATATCATATCATTTCTTCTAAGTTGTATCATGTAATAAGTTCACATTTCATCAGCGGAATATATGTCCTCGTTTTCCCTCACCAAGTTAATTATTGATCTATCACTTGCTACCTATATGCTTTTTTTCGTGTTACTGCAACAAATCAGATTGAATAATTTGCAGGTTTAGAAGAGATTTCTATTACAGGTCCTTGGAGAAGACCGTGGCAACATTCACTAATTTCATGACCTCAAAAGGAATGAAGAAATTCAAGTAGGCGTGTGGAATGCATGTGGTGTGGAAAAAGGAATGTTTAGGTCCCATTGGAGCTGTTGGGGAAATTGATGGTAGTAGCATATCCAATGGGTTATGGAAATATGGTAGAGTAATGCATATTTTTCCTGAAAGATGCTAAATTGCGGTAGAATCCTGGAGCCAAAATAACTTACAGTTGAAATAAGAGATTAATTAGTTCTGTGTTAGGCCAAGTCCTGGTATGTCAAACTGTCAATCAAATTTATGTCGATTGGAACTAAAAAAGACGGGTTTTTTTTTTTTTATTAATTGTTACTACAACGAATTGGATTGATAATAATTTTGCAGGTCCCTAAGTGTTTCCCATTAGGCAGTGTCAGCAAGTTTTTTATACAATGTAGCTTAATACCATGACTGATTATGTGAAGGAAACTTAAGGCAAGTCATCCCTAGTCAACCAAGCTCAAGTAATCATTAGGTTTCTTTATTATTTTATTTTTGTTGGATCGCACCAAAAAATCCTTATGAATATGCGGTACTAGGGTACTCAAAACACTCAAGGTACTGTTTTCCTGACTTTAGTTCATTCCTAATTAGGTAGCCTAGTTAGGTGTATTGCATCACTTTTCTAAACACAAGTCTGGTCTTTCTTTACTGAAACCAGGAAAATTTGAATGTGAAGGACAAGAAGATTAACACAACCCAGGCTGTAGAAGAACTCAAAAACTCTTTCGCTCCAGGAAATGAATTTAGATTTAATTCATAATTGAGCTTCAAGACTTTGAGAACTGATGAATCAAGCTCAAATTAACTACTCTAATCATTGAACTGATAATGATTACTCATATTCTTTGGTACGCTTAATTTTGTAATCTGTAGTAGCTATCCACTTATAATGGTGGCAGCTAGATAATTATCTAGTCTCTGAAATTAATTAAAACTGCAAAAACCACCACTCCTCCCACGGACGGTACCCGGCCGGATTAGAGCTCGGATGCCCTCTCTCCCCTAGAAATGAAATGAGGCAATAATATGCCGGACCTTTACACTTTGTTTAGATTGAAAAAATTAAAAAGAAAGGAGAAGAAAGTGAGGGAATTAAAACCCTTCTTCTTGTCTGGATAAAAAATTTTAATGGTAAAAAAGGAGATGAAAGGAAATAGAATCTTCTCTCCTTCTTCATTTTCAATACTTTTGATTTAAAAGGATTAGAACAAATTACATTAAGTAACTTATATTTGTTTTAAATTTTTTATAAAATAAATACATATAAACATTTTATTTCAA